ATTGTAAGAACAAGGGGGAGTCAAGATCATGATGGGGAAACCCATAGAGACAACTGACCTGGGCTCATGGACTCTGGACCAACAGCTAGAAAACCTGTATGGGACTGACCTAGGCCCTCTGCATGTGTGTGACAGTTGTGTAGCTTGGTCTATTTGTGGGGCTCCTAGCAGTGGGATCAGGACCTGTCCCTGGTGCTTGAGCTGGCTTTTGGGAACCTATTCCCCATGTTAGGTTACCTTGTCCAGTCTTGATGCTTGGTCCTGCCTCAACTTGATGTGCCTTGCTTTGTTGACACCCATGGGAGACCCGCCCCTTTCAGATGGAGAGAGACAGGAGGAGTGAATGAGGAGGAGGGTAGATGGGAGATGGGTGGTGGGGAAGGAGGGAACAGGAAGTGAGGAAGGAGGGGAAACTCTGGTCAGTATATAAAATAAATGAAAAAAATTAATTAACAATTTAAAAAAAGCCAACCTCATCCAACAACAACAAAAAAAGGCTAATTAAGTAATTAAGATAGATGTGTCTGCACTGGGAGCTGACAACTTGCGGAGGAGGAAGAATAACAAATACTCACCTGCAGGTAAGCACAACCCTGAACATTTGTGATAAGAGCTGTCCGAGAGAAAAACAGCAGAAGGACACATTGCTGAGTCTGAGTGGTCAGCTTGAATGGGTCCCAAATTTCTGTGGGATGAAGGGATAAGAACATCACTTTTAAGAAGGTAGCTTTTTTTTGGGGGGGGGGGTGAGACACAGAGAATATAAAATGGCAATGTATGCTTTCCAAGCATAACAGCATTTCCCCTGTGACTGGGTCCTGAAGAGTGTGGTTAAAAGTGGTTCCTTGAGGGAAGTATACCGGAAGTGTCCATGTGAAGCAGGACCCTGGGGCTGCGGCGGTGAGTGTCGTTTATGTGTAAGGGGAAGCAGTAGAAATGTAAGCTAAGGAGTGACATGAGTTCCTTTGAGGTTGCCACTTCTATCTGCTCATCAAAATCTGTCTCAGCTCCCTGGGCATGCAGCCAGGTTATGTTTTCTAACCCTCTTTACAGTTGGCTGTGATCCATGTAACTCTATCCTTCCTGTCTGTGGAAGTAGAGAAACGGTAAATAGCAAGACCAGGGACAGGCTCCTGATGGTCTCCGACGTGGGGTTCCTTAGAGTTTTCCACTGCTGAGTGGGCAGACTTACAAAGTGTCAGAGCTACCGTCAATCTAGACCCCAGTGTGACTCTGTGGTGTAGACAGCCCTTCTAGAAGGCATGAACTGCCATAAGGAAAACCTGGCCTTTTGAGCCTTTCCATGGTTAGGCCATTCAGCATTTGTCCAAATGAACATGATTATTTTAGAAAGCACTTTTGCCTGCTATGCTATGTGAAACTGAGATGCTGTAAATAATAGTAGTGGCCAAGATGAAAGATTATTGTGAGTGAGGTGTGCTGGGGTGATTTCCATAGAAATAGATATAGATAATTTGGATGAAAAAGTCATTAGTCTCTGACACTACCTGGTGAAACAATCTCGCAGCAAACTCCATGATCTTCTATCTCTTGGAGTCATTTGTCCCCTCTTCAATTGAACTTTAGGTGCAGGAGTGTTTTGTAGATGTTTCCATTGGGATTGGGCTCCACAACTCTGCATTTTGGTTGGCTGTGGCTTTGTATAATTGTTTCAGTCTGTTGTAAAGAAAAATCTCCTTAATGAAGGATGAGGTCTATATAATGTGTGTATGTGTATGTATATAACACGTAATTAAAAAAATCCATGAATTTGAAAGTGAATTTCCCCTTTCAGTCTAATTAAAAAAGAAAATTTTAACTTTGGCATAGTAAAGCTCAATATATAACAAAAAGAGTTGTCAAGTAAGAATTACAGTTACAATATCCAGTCCACTTGTATCTGACAAATTTAGAGAAAATATTCTATTATCTATCTTATCTTTGTGAGTCTACAGTTTTATATCTAATCTACTTTTTATTATAACTAAGGAAATCTCTAAGTCTAATTATTTAGTCTTTAACTCCATCACTTCTGACACAGGGGTCTATGGAGAGCACATCCAGACCACACCTAGACCTCAGATCCTGCCTCTTGCCTCGCCACTGATACTGCCCCAACCTCACCTCAATGCACTTTGCTTTCTAAGGGAGATGTTCAGTTTGAAGTGTGGTTTTACCTGCACTCTGCTGGGAACAAGTAGTATCATGGCACCTGGTATGTGAATGTTTGCCTACAATACTACAATACGTAGAGAAATATTTTCAAAAATCCCATGAGCTAATTCTCACCATTGCCATCCTTCTTGCTTTCAAGGGGCTCGAGTCACTGCCCAGTGCTCAGAGTCTTTATCTGCTTCCTTGCATCTGTCACAGACTCATCTGGGAGAATCATTAGGATCTGTGAAAAGTCTCAAGAGAAGTAATTTCTGTGACTTAAATGAACTACAGAAGTGACAGTGAAGGTAGAATCTTTCTCTCTCCAATGAACTGTGTGAAGATATTCTTGACTTTTTTTTTTTTTTT